ATATATATATATATATATATATATATATATATATATATATATTCATGTACATTTCACATTGGAGCTGACTCACCACTGCAATAACACATATAATAATGTTTAGTTCTCTTTTCTGAAGAACAGTTATCAAGCAAGTTAACTTTATCATTGAACACATTTTTTGAAGTCCTAGAGAGTTACCTCATGGCCTCGTGCACCCCAAGTTAGTGTTAGACAACTGACTCTACTACATTTTCTTGATGTACAGATGTTTTAATTTTGAGTAGTGATGAGTAAAACACTGTCAATATCCCTTTCCTCAATACTCTGTCCTTTACTTTTCCTCATTCTTTCTGGTCCCAGCACTAGTCTCTCCACAAAAGCTGCTATGTTAGTCATCCCTCACTGCTGTGGTGAAATGCTTGAGGCAGTAATGTAAAGGAGGGAATTTTTTATTTTAGCTACTAGTTTCGGGGATTTTGAATACTACAACCTGGATACATAGCTCTGAAACCAAGATTAAGTGGAAAGTCAGGAGTGTGTGATTGAGGAGGCAAGGAATATAGGAAGGAAAAGAGGTAGAGACAGAAACAAAGGGGTGGGAGCTGGGTTCTGGGTCCTGTTTTGGGTTTTTTGTTTTGTTTTGTCTTTTTGTTTTTTAACCCAACAGGCTAATCTGTTTTTTGGTTGGATAATTGAGGCCATTGTTCACGCAGTTATGTTAGGCTTCTGACAGGCTTCTGTTAATTCCCAACAATTTTGTAATGTTTGCTACTTTCCTAATCCTCTGTTGATCCCCTACTCTTATTGTGAAGCTCATATTTTTTGTCCTCACTCACATCTTTATCTCTTTCTTCAGGGTAGGTTTCCTCCAGGTATCTTCTGTTGTCCTCCTTCATGGTCATGAATTCCTTTAATTTTAGTGTTTTCTTTTCTCTTTCAATTCTTTCATTTTTTAAAGATTTATTTAGGTATGTATTTCATGTATATAGGTGTTTTGTCTGCAAATATGCACATCAGAAGAGAGCATTGAATCCTATGGGATGAGAGTCAAATGGGACTACAGTCAGACAGTTGTGAGCTGCCATTTAGATACTGGGAATTTAACGCAGGACCTCTGGAAGAGCAGCCAATGTTCTTAACTTCTGAGCCATCTCTTCAAACCCCTTCCCATTCAGTTTTCAAAGATAGCTTTTCTGGATATCAGAATCCAGGTTTGTATTCTATATGTTGAAGATTTTGGAATGTATTATCACACAACTTCCTGGCTTCTAAAGTTTCTGTTGAGAAATCTGCTCTTTTAATGGGCTTCTCTCTTTGTGCGACTTAGTATTATCTGATGCAGTTTTCACTATCTTTTTATTGTTCTTTATGGTAGTGTTTTAGATTATGTGACCAGAGGAGGCTCTCCTTGGGTCCTATGTGTTCAGCTTTCTTCTCATGTCGTTTTGGTCATCTCTTTACATAAATTAAGGAAAATATCATTGTATTGAATCTATTTCCTGAGGCTTTTGCTTGTTCTCCTTATTCTATGCCTATGATTCAGTAATTTGGTCCTTTAAGATGCTCTATAGGTCATGCACACTCTGTCCCTATGTTCTTGGTATTGTATTATTTATAATTGTTTGAATTCATTTTTTGTGTGTTCGCACCCTCATACTCTTTCCTCCATTCTATCTGTGAGGTACACACTGCAGTTTTAATTCAATTTATTGGGCCTTTTCTTTCCAAGATTTCTGCCCTCTTCTATCTCTGAGTCCCTTGTCTCTTGATTCATTGACTAAGTCACTGACTGTCAGTCAGCTGGTTGTCTTTTCTCTGAAGCCATTTAGGAGGGTAGTCATGATGTCTTTACTTTTTTGAGGGGGGTTTAGAGACAGGGTTCTCTGTGACTTTGGAGGCTGTCCTGAAACTCACTCTGTAGACCAGGCTGGTCTCGAACTCACAGAAATCTGCTTGCCTCTGCATCCATAGTGCTGGGATTAAAGGTGTGTGCCACCACTGCACGGGCTCAATGTCACTACTTTTTAGATCATTCTTCTCACTCTTTTGAGTTTTGGACCTGATATTTAATCTCCTTTACTCCAATCAGATCCATTATATGGAACTGATTTGTTTCTAGGAGATGTACTTGATTTTTCTTTTTCTTTTTCTTTTTTTTTTTTTTTGGTTTTGGTTTTTCGAGACAGGGTTTCTCTGTGTAGCTTTGGAGCCTATCCTGGCACTCACTCTGGAGACCAGGCTGGCCTCGAACTCACAGAGATCTGTGGGGAACCTGTAGCCATGCCTGCTTAGGGCTGGCTATAGGTCTGACTGACATAAGCAGATTATTGTGTCTTCTTATATTTCACCTTTATGATTGTAATTTTGGATACTTTATACTGTTAAGTTTTAATTCTCTTTTAGACTAACAGGGGAATTGTAGGGGAACCTGTAGCCACGCCTGCTTAGGGGCTGGCTACAGGTCTGCCTGTCCACGCCTTTGAGGGCATGGTCAGTTGACGTAGAGTGAGAGGGTCAGGGCTTTGTTTCAGTTTCGTTTTCCCTTTTCGGCTTGCACAGACTGCTGCCATGCCGGCTGGCTAGGTCGCTCTGTAAGTAAGGCTTTTCCCTATTAAATACCCTTATATTTCTACTTGGCTCCATATTGGTAATTTCCCACTATAGAGATCCACCTGCCTCTGCCTCCCGAGTATTGGGATTAAAGGTGTGCACCACCAATGCCCGGCTGATGTACTTGATTTTTCCATGTGTATGTTTTTATATTAGTGTTTAGCATTTGGACTTGGATCATTGATTGGACCCTTAAATAAATTACCCATGTTCTCCAGTTGAAGCTTTTGAAATATTCAATTAGGATTTAGTTGTATTGGGTTTGAGGTATTGTTTCTTTCCTGTGGACCACTGGTGCAGATCAATAGATACACTTGAAGCCTACATTCAGGACATTGAGCAAATACCTAGCAACATTCTGAGAATAGAATATTAACCTCAGAAGCAACCAGAACTGATAGATAGCCCTGCTATCAAAACATAGTAGAAGCAAAAAATAATTGCCCTTCCTACATATCTTTTTTAGGAATAACACAACAATGATAATATGTTGTATGCAAGAATATTAGTTACAAGTTGTAAAAGTTGAAAGAACACACTGAGCAAGACTATAAATTGGTATAAGTAAAACAGGGATTCTGTAGCAGAGTAAAACATGAAGGGAAGAGAATTTGGGAGATGGGGGTAGACAGAGCATGACAGCTATTAAACCTGTAGAAAGTAATGTGAGAATCACATAAAGGAGGTGATGGGGTTTGAAAATGGGAAAGTAAGATACAGTTGAGAGGTACATTGGTTAGAGGTGAGAAAATACAGCCATATCAGTGCTGACACTGTACTATCATAAAGCCTAAGTGAGCAATATAAAAACTAAATCAAAACTATTTAACATTTAGACAAGATTCAAGAATATAACAGCATTGAATAAAAATAAAATATGGCAGGTATGGTATCATATACTTTTTTTGGTTTTTTGAGACAGGGTTTCTCTGTGTAGCTTTGGAGCCTATCCTGGCACTCGCTCTGGAGACCAGGCTGGCCTCAAACTCACAGAGATCTGCATGCCTCTGCCTCCCGAGTGCTGGGATTAAAGGTGTGCGCCACCAACGCATGGCGGTGTCATATACCTTTAATCATGGCAGAAGAATCTCTGTGAGTTTGAGGTCAGCTTTATCTACATAGCAAATTCTGGACCAAGGCTTTACAGTGTAACCCTGTCTCAAAATACAAGACAAACACACAAACAAAACAAAACACTAGAAAGCAAAAAAGCAACCTTTAAAAAGCAAGATAAACAATAACATAGCCTGAGTCAAATTCTCTTCCTTGCTTAACAGCATCAGAAATTGTCTCCCCCATCTCTGAGTTGTCTTAGGGATTTGTCTCTGCTAATAGGAGAGACACTTGTCTGTGTCACAGGATTGGTCCTCCCTTAACTAACTCCTAGAACCTGGATGGTCATTTCAACCAGCATGAAGTATCACCTCTTAAGTACTTGCCACTGGACCAGTTACTGTTATGTAAGTGCGCTGGACAGTTCTGCTCTCCCCTACTGGATTTTAATTCTAAGTTTTGATGCAACCCCCAAGCCCCCACCCCTGCCTATGTTTGTCTTTATTTGGCTATTTTCATCTCATAGGGCCCAGGCTGCCAGCAACCAGGTCTTGAGTTCGCTTGCTTCATCAAGCACTTGTCCACTATGCACATGGTTCTATGGGTCTATGGGTATCCTCTCAGCATGTGGAGAAGGTGCTTTGGAATTTGGAGATGTAGTCACAAAGACTTTTCTCCTAGCAGAGTGGTTTTATGAAAATTCTCTCTGTTCTATTTGCTCCTTGCCCCAGCACTATAGTGAGGTAGGTCCAAAGGACTGGTTGCTTTCCCAGCATCTGCCTAACCCAACTTAAGGAACTGCCATTTAAGGCTAGTCCTTGATGTCTTTGCTTCTGACTGATTCATGTTTCTCTTTTGTTTACAGACCTAGAACAGTGAAACGAAGGATTCTCCCTCCCCATCACCACTTTTCTTGTGTTCTCTGGGGTGGATAGAGTCTGGGTTGCTTTATGAGTGTCAAGTTACTTTTTCTGTATTTTATCTTGTGTCCCTCAGACTGTTTACACTATCATTCTCTTTGTCTTTCCATACTTCTCATTCATGAAGCCATAGGTTCTGTGTCTTCTCTAGAGTGGTAGGGTTATAGGTACTTGCTATTTGTCCCTATTTTGTGTTTTCCAATCTCAATCTCAGGTTTGCCATTGTAGTAACAGGAAGCTGAACAACAACTCCGAGCTGTCACATCTGCTCCCCTCAACCCCTGCACTGTGAAGCTGGAGAGTCCCCACATTATTTGCCAAGATGTTCTGCAGAGTGTAAGAGGAGGTTTTCTGCCCTGCAGCTGTTCTCAAATGATCACTCAGAGACTAGGTCTTACATTTTAAGTTAACCCATATTCCTTATTTAAGATCTGCCGCGTGGAGGTACCTTTATTAGCATGGCACGTTCATCTGCTGCTCCTTCTGTGTCTGCTCGACACTCCCAACTCCACCCTTTTCTTCCCATCATTCTCAGTTTGGCTCTCCTGCCTAACTTTATCCTGTTCAGCTATTGTCCAGTCAGCTTGTTTATTAAACCAATCATAGTGACATATATTCACACAGTGTACAAAAGGATTATTTCACAGCAGCAGAGGCCTTGCCTCGATGGGCAGGACCCAGCATGGCTCACAAACTCCAGTTCAGCATTTGCTCTAGTAGCTTTTCTCTGCTCAGATTTCCAGTTGTCCATTTGGCTTTGAAACAACTTTGGGAAATTTCCAACAAAGGTTATTTTATAGTGCCAGGTTCCTTGCAGAAGAAGTGGAGTTTAAATGAACCCCCAAGATGTGATGCTGACTTGGCCAGTTTGGCTTCCTGGTACATTGGGTGATAAAAGAAAGGGGTGAATGGCCTTTCTGTGTCACTGAGGCTTTAGACAGAACAAAAACAAAAAAAAAAACAGTCTCTGCCTCTGATAATGCTGTGAGTAGCAGAGGGCTGAACTAACTGGTCTTCAAGCTTCCCTTCACTTGAAACCCTCACCCACAATGTGATGACCTTTGGATGTGGGATCTTAAGGAGGAAGTTATGCTTAGAAAAGCTCATGAGGGTGGGCCCTCTTTATGTGACTAGTGCCCTTATAAATAGAGACACCATAGTGTTAGTCTCACTCCCAGTGGAGGAAAATGAGAAAGCAATTGCTGGTGAGCCAGAAAGAGAGAACTATTCTGGCTTCCTGACTGAACTTCCAGCTTCCCAAATGCAAGAGTATCCATTCCCTGTTGTTGAAGCCTTCCAATCCATGGTATTTT